TGATTTTATCAGCAGTGGCACTGCTTTTCTTGGCCTTATTGTGCGTAATTGGGATATTTACATTCAATTATTTGTTCATTAATCTAATTTCCAAGGTTAGTTTTCATCGTTCATGCCTAGTTATTGTACAGAAATATGATAAAGACTATTGTCTGATAACACGTGATAAAAAATCGTACCATGAAAAATATGTATTCCAAAAAGCATGTTTTCAATCATATTAATTATAAAAAGATGACACTGGTAAGAAGAAATGTGTTAAGAAGTAATTTTGGGTTTCATGTTTTTTTGGCATAAGGGCTTGACAATCTATACTCCTACCTAATTGTCGGAGTACTTCAATGTGAGTATAGTGTCTCATTCACAGATTTTCAGTTTCTTTAACATTCTAATGGCTATTGATAAAGCATGGTTTCCACACACCAAGTGATAATTCATCACGTTTTCGGCGGCCTGAGTACATTAAATATGTTGGACTAGTCACTCCCTTATGTAGCAGTTTTTTCTTTCACTTTATTATATGTTCAAAGCGTTGAGTTTGAGATATTCATGGTGGGTCGATTAATTAAGACTCTAAAAGGTGGAGAGATTTTTGGCTATTCATTGGAGTTGGGCGCAAATTTAATTCGATTGAGCGGTAGTTGTACTTCCTTTACTCATGTTTCATGGTAAAGATTTAAATAGTGACGAAAAGGTCTTTTGACCCGCAATTTTTAATCCTCTTTGCTATTATCATATAACTTTCATTTCACTCAAATACATGTTTTACGTACATTACATAGACTTTATTGTAAGCAAATACTATGCCTAACAGATGTAACTCTAGAGTTTCCTTTGTGTTGTACGTGAGCGTTTTCTAAATAAATGCATGTGTGCCGGTTTGAAGTCAACAAGGAGTAACACTCACTAATTACGATTTTCATGATGGTCAGAACACTTTCAACATATCAGTGTTTAAAATGTATGCCACAACATAGTTTGCAATTACTATTATGGGTAACCTCTCTCACCCCAATCTTCGTTTCTTATACGGCTTCATGAAGCCTCTCATACGTTTAATTATTTATTGTTATTTTAAAATAATATCAAGGTTTGCTCCGGTAAACTATTTATAGCTTAAAAATCTACTCATTAATAGTGTCGCTAAATGATTTCTTTGAATGTTTACAGATTTATTCTTTAGTCATGGCTTTTTATGTTACAGAAACTTGCTATTTTACCCGGTAATGAAGTTTACGATAACTGGAGATCACCAAGTGTGCTGTTTATTTTTCCGTATATCTTTACAATTTGACTAATCCCGATGATGTTCTTAAAGGTCATAGACCAAGATTTGCTGAAGTTGGGCCTTACGTTTATCGGTAAGTTAATTTTTTGTTACACTGTGCACTCTAGCGTCCTCCTTTTTTCTACGTTCTTATTATGCTGATTTCAACTCATCCATTAGTAACCACATTTATTGTCTGTCATTTTACTACACAGAGAAGATCGTCAACGCCTCAATATAAATTTCTCCCAAGAGTCTCCACCTAAAACGGTAGCATTTCGACACAGAATTTTATACTATTTCCAACGTAACCTTTCTGTTGGTCCTGATGATGAGGGACTCGTAACAAGTCTTGATCTGGTGACAGTAGTAAGTTGTATATCGTTTAAGTTCCTTATACTTCATGTTCCATTTATCAAAGTACTTGGACTTTTCTGATGTTAATCTTTTTACTTTGTGGTGTTCGTCCATGCTCAATAAGGATGATGTCATCTAGGTTTTGAGCTAATACATCCATATTTTTTTCCGATTTCATTTTAGTCGAGCAAGTGATGTTAGCTTGGAATGGCTGTTTATATTTCGCCTAGTTGTAGGAGTGCTCATCTTTTCAAAAATATGTAATCTCGGATGGTAAATACCGTCTTCGGACTATGTTATAACTGTATTTCTTCTCAGAAAAGGTTAAGTCTTCAGTCATGAGAAATATCGAGACATTAACCGAATACCTGGATCGATGGTTGCTTAGAATTTCTGTTGCTCGAGGGTCATAATCTTTCGTAGTTATTAAATCAAGTTTAGTTTAAGTTGATTCCAGCTTGAAGGGATATTTAAATAGCTCAAGATAATCAACTTAGGTCCTTGATTTTTAACTGGTATCGTCTACAGAATCATATGGAGAAGCTGGGAGAACGAACTTGTTTCGTCACGACAGTTATATCAGTGTACAGTCGTAACCCCATACGGGTTCTAATTTGGAATTTTTTAATTCATGGTTAGTGCGTTATCATTCAGTTACTTGGTTGGAACACGATAGCTCATATTGTTAGACTGAATAAGTTCACGACCAAATATCAGTACTTTTCAGTACTTTTTGTGATCAACTTTAATCTATTTGGTCGATTTCCCAGACCATGAATTCTTATTAGAGTTTTTGGATATTTCATCTTTAAACCAGTTTCTACTGTTTATCTATTTAGTCAAGTTGTTTGTCGATAACTGATTAAGTTAAAGAAAACCATTATCATGAATTTGATTTTTGCTCATGTGTCCACTGAAAAGTGTGAATTGAAAAGGATTTAGCTATCATTTATCACCTTCTTTCAAGCTAGCGTCTATGTGCATACACATGTCTACTGTTTCATAGTATGATAATCTACTGCTGCATAATGTCAAAAGTTAAACTAGAAATAATGCATTCAACATTGTTGAATTCAGTAGTTTAGGAATCCCCATCAAGTCATACAAAGAAAGATACGTAGCAACGAGTCACTCTTTTCAGCAATACCATTCTCAAGCTCTACAATCTCTTACAATTATTCTGTTCACATAGTGACAGAAAAGGAATGTTTCGTGGAATATTTTGGACGTAGTTCATATTTGATTATAAGTCAGGAGATCAGAAAAAATAATCACATAATGTTTGGAATGGTAATGAGGAGAAAATTTATAAAGACTGAACTAATATTTGGTTGCTAAGTTAAGTGATGTAATATGGCGAATGTAAAGAGAAATCAGACTTATAGGAGTGGGGGAGTGTAATATTTGAGATCTGAATAAAAATTTATTTGAAGGTAAAATGTTTTAATGGGTTATGTCCATTGCAACTCAAGTGACTGGGCGAATTTCTTTTCAACCCAGAGTTCAGGCTTAGAAATACTTATTACCATGGTTTCTGCAGTTCACGAAATTCGCAAGAGCTCTATAGATGACACTGAAATTGTTTTCTGCACTTACCAGGAGTCATAAACGATCAAATAATCTGTAATAGAGCTCTTTTCTTCTTTGTGGAACCAGGCTGGTATATGTTCTGAAATGCGTTTGAAAAGCGAACGCTGAGTTCGGAGCAGGTGAATTCGCAACAGCTTACATCATTATGAAGATTTTTCGGAAGTGACAACCCTTTTAGTGAAATTAAGTTTATCAGATCAGATAACCAGATTATAATCTGGTTGTAGGACTGTTACAAATTTGTAAAAAACGTTTTGTATAATATTTTCTCCAACTGCATTAACTTCGTAATTTACATTTCGTTGTAGGGTATGATTGCATTTCCAAGCATATATAAGTATGCTTCACTTCTTTACAATTTTGGTGCATTTGTGACGCGGTCACCTCGCGAAATCATCTGGGGTTATGAAGACCCTATTTTAGCTATTTGCCAACAGTTTGGTAAATGTGACACCAGTCGAGCTGGTTTGATGGCCCAGGTAATTTGCTTCTTACTTGTAAATCCTTGTTTCATCTTTATGAAGGTCTCTCTCTTCATATATATATATATATATATATATATATATATATATATATCACACGGTTTTCGAAATCAGTTAAAATATGCAGTCAGTATAAAGTGTTGCACCAGAAAACTTTTCAAAATTTCTGCGGTAAGTTTTAATCGTGCACAGCCAGGTGTTTCGTAGTTCGAAGTTGTACTCCTTCTATGTTACAATGAGGATGTATAGGAGTCTATGACTATAAATGTTTAGGACTTGTTTGCTTCTTATGGCAGCGTCAGTATATGCATAGAACGATAGTCCTGTTGTGCACAGAAGCCACATGAAAATTTTCTCTTCCCCTCATCATTCTTGTTGTCCCGAGTCACAGAAACTACTTGAAGGCATTGCGCGGTGAAGCATCTTTTTAATAAATATGGGAGTTAATTCAATTGGGCAGCCATACATGCAATACAAACCGCGGACCATTCAAATAAATATTTGTGAAAATGTAGCTACGAGCATGGATAAATTCTACACGATACTAAACTATCATGTTTTCTATCCAGGGATATAATTTCCTCATCAAAACGTTGTCATTCATCTTTAGTATGTCAAATGCTGATGGTTAAACACTAGTTATATCGTATTCCTAGCTCGTTTTGATCATTTGAATGCTTTGATATGTGACGCTAACATTTCCATTGCATAGTTTGACCTTTACAGACGACCGGATAACTTGCGATACAGTGGACATGCATTCTTAACTAATCAGTCAAATACCTTGTAAGTATGCCACACTTTGACTGGAAAAAATCATGTAACCCGTTTCAGTTGATTTTTAGCTGCCACACAATGAAACTGAAAATGTACTGGATAACGTTTCAGATACAATATATTCTCCATAGTCATATCAAGATAACTCCACAACTTTGAAGCGTGGATTGACATAATCCAGTAAATATTGCTGTTTCACTGTGTAATGCATCTAGTAAATCAACTAAAATGGAATTGCATTCCACCAGTGTCCATGTTTTTCTTTTATATTAACGTGTAACCTCAATATGCAGAGTGACGATTTTCGAAAATTGATTTATATGAAGACAATAGTGCTTGCTTATTCTTTAACTATTTCCATAGGACCTTAAACATTCGAGACACAAAGTGTTGGTATCGCTCATTATCTATGCAATTGACATATGTCTGTGTAATTGCGTTGGCGATACTGCCTTATTCTTGTCTACATAGATTGCATTCACTTGTGTTAATATAAAACTCTTGAGTTTATCTCTTAGCGTAATTATTGACATTTGAAATAACTTTGTTGTTGTAATCCTTCTAGTCTATGTAATACATTTATTGTTACACTGTTATTACTCATGAAATACTGAACTGCCTAATAAAATTAATTTCATTAGTCCCACATAATCTGTCTACATTCTTTTTGAAAATATATATATTGTTAATTCATCTTCCTGAACACTTCATACCCTTCTTTCTTTTATAATGTATCAATCTCTTTTGTTCCCCTACTATGCTATTCTTAACATCTAAATGGTTACAGTTCTATATCTTGCGTAATTTGTGACTTGAAATCACCAACGAAGCTATTTTTAAAATGAACCCATCGAAAAGACCCTGCAATGCATTAAGTAACCAGCATAATGTTTTAGGTAATAAGAACATTAAAGTATTCTTTTTTCATATGAGGAAATGACAAAATCGTCTACTTATTGTGAAAAGATCTTGAAGTATATTTTTAGGGATAATTATTGTCTAATCATGCTTTCACAAGCTTTAGTGTTTAAATGGCCGTAGTAGAAATACTGCTTAGAGAAGATCCATTGTTCAGTCAGTCAAAGAAAGTTGTCAATTTCACACTACCGTATACAGAAGATCACACTGTCTCATAACCAAATAAAAACGTATAGAAGCGATCTGGAGAACATACTATGCAACAATCATCAGCACCACAGGAAGAATGAAACTTATGTACTTCTGTGAACTCTCGCAGCAGTTGAACGATGGAGTCACACCTATCGAATGATTCAACTGGCCCAGGCGATAGATGTTCGACATTGTCTACTGCTAAGCATATCATTGAAATGAGTCTCAAAATCGATTTGTAGTCGTCTTTTCAATCCATTCATAAAATGCATTGAAGACGTAGTTTTGTTGAAACCTTAGCTATAACGAAGTTTAGACATTTTTTATGGATTTATAAACAATTTGTTGTAACATTAAACCTCAACCTTAATATTAAGGGTGAATAATGTAATATATTCTTTTCTAACCCGTCATTTAATCTCCAAACTAACAATTTGACACATTATATCGATATTTCTAAAAAAAACCCATTCATCTTTTGTTTTAATTAACATGAATATGCGTGACAAGTGTGCAGTCAGATTGTTGGGAATGTATTGGGCTAATACACAGATAAACTACGTTTTCTTATCGTATGAAGAGCAAATGAAGAAAGAAGCAGAAGAGGAAATGAAGTATATTTTGCGAATGACGGTTTTAGTGCAAGGTGTGCCATATTTAACGAGTACTGTCTCACTTATTGACTATATACATTCCTTCCTGCACACCTGTCTTTTGCTTCTTTCACTGGCACCAGTTAGGTATCGACGAATGAGTATACCACACAGCTGTATACTCTGTCTTATTGTACGACTGCTAGACAAGATAGTTGAAAGTAGAAGGTATGAGGAGGCTGCACGTTTTTTTTGACTAATGGTTTTTTGTAGCATTACCTGCATAATATAAAACAACTATGTGAGCATTCGTAAGGATCGGGAAGTATGGAAACTTATTCGATCCAGTTGTATATCTTTATCAGTATATGTTGAGAACATCGTATCATCATCTACTTCGACCTATGATTTTATGCGAGATCGGATCAGGTTGAAAGAAATGTAGAAATGGCCAAATAAAGAAAGAAGTGACACCTGTTCAAGAAGAATCTGACTGTTGTTCTGAATCATACATATATATAGTGGTAGGCTTTATGTGTGGAGTCATTGAGAGAATAGGGATCAGTTATTGGGGGGTTCTTTTGAGGTATTACTCTAAATCGGTCACAATAACGCAGATGCATAAGCCCCTCATTATAAAGATGTTGAACATTTTCACTGACCTTCATTTATTTATTCTGTCTCCTTTTCATGCTGCTATGCCCGCTTTAATATTATTCTTTTCGTAGCCACCTCTGTAAAACGTATCAACGGAAAGTGGCGCTTAGTTCTAATTGTGTATTTATTGATGCCTTCACATTAATAACCGTTCCCAATTGATGAGAAGAGAATAGCAAATTTTTCAGAGTTTGTAATTGTCTTTCAGTAGTGTTATTTTATGCACAAGAACACACTTATTTCAAACAACTTCCAACCCTTCGTATAACGTTTAGAGATGCCCAGTATACATAGGTTTCTCATTGGAAGTTTTACTTCATTTAACTATATTAGAATGTTGAATAAATAAATCTGGTGGTCTGTGACTACAATCTCAACCTTTTTACTTCTCAAATGAAATGTCGAAAGAAGTATGATCACATTTGATATGATTATGAGCAATAATTTATGCTCAAAACGTCATTAAGTAAATAATATTGGATCGCTGTTTGCAATAAATCAAATAAACAAATCTAATATGGAATTAAATCCTACCGCAGCGCCCAAGTTTTACACCTATATTAATGACTTTATTTTGACATTTCTTAGAGTTTCGTTAAAAGCTGAGTAAATAACGTCCATAGTTCATCCAGAAAGTACATATCCAACATTTTAGTATATCTATAAAATGGAAACTATTTGTTTCCTAACAACGATTGGTATTCTGTAATAGCTGCATATAGAGTGAATTTCTTGAGATTTTAAAGTCAAATTGAGTTTGATTTCCCATTATGAACCCATTATGTTAAGGATCGTGTTATTTTTTCATCACTTTATTCGTCAATAGTATTTTCAGTATAAAAATTATGTCCGTCTCCTTCATTATGTTTGCTGTCCCATAGTACGGCTTTTGTTTTTCCGCCATGGACAGATCAATATGCAATCTTATTGACCCTGAGACTAAACTTATCCGCATCGGTCATCTTTTAATTAAGTCTGTCTATTGTTTCTGGTCGGATAAAACGGTTTGGGCTTTGCTTACCAAATTAAGAACAGTTGTTTCTGTTAGCAAAGAATGTTTCTGAGTAGTCATAAGCAAAAACTTTGTGGATTAGTCAAAATATCTGGGCTTCAGCATTCAAAAGTTTGTTGAGTCGTGCAAATACTCGCTTTGTTAGTTAGTCATTAACTGCTTAAACCGACTGCTTACTGTGTTTAGAATACGAAACTGCAGCAGCGTAATCTGAAGAAACTAATTTTTCCTATTCATTATTAGCTGTTTCTTGGTACACAGTCGCTAAGAGTATACGATAACCAATTGTTCTTTTCTACTAGGGAAAGATAAGTTCCAAAATGTTTCTTCTTGCTTAACGAGTTGATTCGGTGCAATTCTTTGGTAATCTATTAACATTTACAAACGTATAGATCGTGAACACTGTTAGTCATTGAAACAGTTCTTGTACTTCGAGCGAGAATTTTTCTCGCAGTCTGTTTACTTTCGTAATACGTTAAGGTTTTTTGTCACTTCCAGAAAAAGTTGTAATGTTCGATATTTCAGACCACTCTTTTTGTTTTTACGTTTATAGAACAATGGGACAAAATTTTTTGATCTTGTCATCGATACCGGTGCATATAACATTTCGAACGTTGGAAAAGTGCTAAGGTACAACGGATTAACGTGAGTTCCTAGGAAGAATTAGAGCCTATATATATATATATATATATATATATATATATATATATATATATATATATATATATATATATAAATCTCACCTAGCCTTCAAAACTAATTTTAAGAAAAGAACTTAAGACTTGCCATTTAAATACAGTTTTTAGTTCACTATTTGATTCAGCTAGCCACTGTATCGTTCCGAATGATTTTTTTTCTGAGTTATTAGATTATGCTCTACTGCATATATTTTACAGTGTCAGTGTCCTTCTTTTAACACCAGCCCGACTCCATGTCGGTGTTGCGTTGGTAGAAATTCAATCAGTGTATGATTACCGCTAAAGACTATGTAAATGTTAACTTTATCCATACCATTTCGGGCTGACAATATTATTATTGTATTATTATTTTCCCTTGGGTTCCTAGTGGAACATTGGCTTCAGTAGCACGCCCCCATTGCACTCTCTTCTCTGCAGTCTTCAAAACCTGGCGCCTCAAATGCTCACAAGCTGTCATCTCTTACTCACATGATCAACTCCATGTCACCCTAGCCTCGGACGCCCAACTCGTCGTTTCCCCTTTGCATTCCACTCGACGGCCTGGCCTGATGCGTGATACCCTCAGTCGGCCTTCTCAGTGTATGCCCAATACAATCCATCTGCACTTTCTTCTGCATATTTGTTGGGTGATAGGTTCTTACTTCATTGGTTTGTTGCCAGCCGGAGCTCCTCGTTGCTTATTTTTATTATTCTGGCGATCTGATCTTCAGCATCGAGTCAGCGTAGACAGCTGTTGATGAATGTCTGTAGTCTGTTGGAAGTGCTTTTAGTGACACTCCAAGTTTCTCAACCACCACATAGAAGCACCGACTTGACTGATGTTGGTGTTGAAAATCCGGATGTTGTACAGGCTTTATGCTGAGTGCAGTAGATCTCCACACTGATTTCAGATTAGTGAAAGCCTGTCTTGCTTTTCCGATCCTGTCTGGTTTTGACATCCTCGTCTGTACCTGTGCCTGTGCCGCCTGTAGTTGAAACGATGCTGCCTAGGCAGGTAGGTGAGAGAGACTACTTCCTTTACATTCCTCCCGTTGATGGTGATTGGTGCTTGTTGTTCATGTAGTTGTTGGTCGGGTATCCTCATCACCCCTGTCTTCTCTACGTTCATGTGAAGGAAGTTCCATTTTCGTTACCTCTTCTGTCAACTTGTTAGTTTTTGCCTAAGGTCTTCTAGTTTGTGCGACAAGACATTGGACATAAATCATCATTGGTGGCGAAATCCAAATCTTCTTTCAGGGTTTTTCATCGGTCCAGTCAGCGTATGCCCATCTTCTCGCTCCTCACGGTTTGCTGCATGATTCAGTCCACCACGAACAGGAAGATCAGGCCTGATAGTAGATAGCCTTGTCTTACTCCCGTCCACACTTCAAAGGCGTCTCTAAGCTCTGCATTTTGAATCCCTTCGCATTTGTCGTCTTCATAAACCTGTTGAATGAGGTTGATAAAGACTAGTACCACTTAGAGGTGTTGAAGCAGCTGCCTGCCAAATTATTCGGTCGACGCTATCGAAAGCCTTTTCAAAGTCGACGAAGTTGAAGTAAAGATGAGTTGACCGCCATTCTATACTATGTTATGTGATGATGCGTAGCGTTTCGTTGCAATTTGATCCGCACATGATTTGTTCTTCCTAAAGCCAGTTAGTCAGTCAGCTAGCTAGCTAGCCTGTTCCGGTCGTATTTTGAATCCAACGTATCCTTTAGTCTCTGCAGAATGATGTGGCATAATATTTTGCTTGGGTTGGACTGGGAGAGGAGCATTACTCTTCGCCCGTTCTTGCAAAGACTTAGGTCTCCGTTCTTTGGGCGTTTGACAAGGTAGCCCTTCCTGCAATCTCCAGGTAGTTTCCCTTCCTTCCAAAGCTTCTAAAGTAGTAGTAGGAGTAGTGTGTGTTCAGTTCTTCATTTCGTTGTTCATCACTGCACTGCACTGCACTGCATTAGTTCATCTTCTGATCACCATCTTCCTCTCATTTTTCTTTTAGCTTCCCTGTCCCCGTCGAGATACATTCCTTGTCTTGACTCTTCTTCTTCCTTCCTGACGTGATTATGCAGGTTTCCTTCAACGTCGCTTTCACAACTTCCAGTATTCTTCCACGCCTGATCCTCCAGGGATGTTGCTTGATGTCTCCCATTTTGTCCTAATGACTGGCTGACGTGAAGATGTCGTGTGTAGTTTTGTCCTTCAGATTCTGGGTGTTGGACTTGGATTGTAGTCTATCACCAACTTCTTTGGAAGCCTTCAATTTGATTTGGAAGGTTCCTTGCACCAGATGGTGGTGTAAACCTACCTCTGCTCCTCTTCTTGATCTGACCTTGTGTCCAGTCGGCTGGCTGTGTCTCCACTTTCTTCACATTGAGATGAAGTCGATCTGATTTTCAGTGTAGTGTGTCCCGTTGTCTGTTGAAATCAACTTCATGTCGCTGGCTTGTGAATATCCTTGTATTTGTACAAAATACCTCACCTCCAATCACCAAGTCGTTGAATGTGCAGAAATCTGCAAACAGTTCTTCATTCTCATTCATTTCACCGAGTGCTTCTCGATCCATGATGAGTTGTCTTCCTGTGTTATCCGCTCCCACTTTGTGATCCATGTCACCCTACTCGTTAGAATTTTGATGTCACCAGCTGGGTTGTGGTCTTGTCATGTACTGATTCCAGTTGTCTGGAGAATTCCTCCTTCTTCCCTTCATCTGCTTAATTATTTGTGGATGCGTAGCTTAGCGTAGCATTGAATGATTGTGACTTTCCTTCCTCTTGAGTTGAATCTTGCTGTCATGATCCTGATCCTGATTGTTGAGGAGATTGGTTCCCAGTGCATGAGAGAGTCTTCGGTGCTGTTGGGGACATCATGATATGCACTCCGAAATTCAGTTTGCTCGTGATTGTCGTCTGGGTAACGATGTTGGAGTAGATTATTGACTGTCCAGTTGACATTTTGGAGGGTCCATTTCCATTCCACATGCTTTCGCAGATTCTAAGGACTTCTGTGGCATACTTCCTCATCTCTTTCGCTATCTGGGCAGCCTCGCTAGGTTCATAGATGGTGCAGACATTCCATGTTTTTGTTTACTTTTGGTTTCATCGAGAGAAGAGAAGACACATTGGCCGACTGGTTTCCTGAAGACTTTCACCAACCGGCTTTATTCTGTCCCTCCGATTCCACCGTGGAATAAGTTTATTTGCAAAATATATCTTCTTTGTGCTTATTGGTTTCTAAAGCAATTTGATTGGTTTTCCTGGGTGGGGTTGCTAGCCGTATGCTCAACCTTCCCTCTTTGCCTCGGCTTAGGCCTGCCTAGTGACTTGTGTTCTAGTGATTGCCAGTAACTTATGTTTATTTGAAGTTAAGGTTTGACTTTGCATTTTTCTCCTGCGGAATTGATTTCTTTTTTTCGATTTTTTTATCTAGAAATTTGGACTACTGGCACACAGAATATGCCAATATGATAAATGGCACAGGTGAGTTAGCATTTATTTAATCACGATCCGTTTGCACATTTTTTCCTAGGTATGACAGAATTTATGAATACAGTGTACGTAAACTAGAACTCCTTTTCTTCGTGTCGTGTACTACTGACGAACTCTGTTTATCGATACCGAATTTAGTAGTGCAGTTGAGAAATTTTCTATAGATTTTATAATTTTATTTCAAGTTTGGAGAATAAATTGAATCATCACCAATAAAACTTACCGCTCAATTCTTGGTAGGCTGTATTTATAGGTTAACCTCAACATAAATACTGTTACATAAAGACTACCTCTTAACTATGTATCTGAAGTGAACGTTTAAAAATTATTCACCTACCCTGGATTACTTTTGTTGACATAGTTTTGTATTCAAGAGTTATGAAGTGAACTTGAGTCACTGTAGAACTTGAATTTTGATGTCTCTGGTTTAAATCTTGCTTTTGATCTCAGTAACCGTTTGCGAATACAAAAGTTCATCACAAGCTCAAAATGCAAATATATTGGGACATAGAATCGGGATTGTGATTCTTCTTCCAGCTGTATTTTTTGTCGTAAATGCCGTCGCAAATCTCTTCTTTATTCCTTGACACATTAAATGGATTATTTTCAAGATTTTTCAACCTGAATAATCTCACAGACTCTATCCAAAACATATACACTGCTGAAACTAACAGTTAAAGATTGCGTGTCTTTTCTCCTGAGCTAGACTGATCACTTGAAAATTTATTTTATATAACTCTGGTAACACTGCGTTTAGATGTATGGTGATTAAGCATCCGTAAGAAACATCATTGACAAGTTTAATATAAGTTTGTGAGCTGTATTTGTCTGGGTACATCTCTGATAAGCTATTCTTCAAACCAATGAACTGGCCAACCGTTAATGAGATCACAGTGATCTAGCTAGTTTAATGCGTAGATCAACTTGGGTATGTATTTATCGTTCATAAACACCAACCCATCACCCGGTATCTGTAATACACGTTTGCCAAACCACAGATAATCAGATGGTCAAACTGATAGGTAAAAATATTAACTTATTCGATCATTCTACAGCTGTATCACTAAAGAGGAATTTAAAAAGGACTAGGCATGAGTCGACAACATGCAATCATCAGTTGAGAGATATACTTGGAATATTCTAACATTTTCACTGAACTGCTGATAAGATTGCTTATTTTAGTTACCATCTACAAATACTTTTTTACATATTGTCAACTTAATGAGACTTTGTTGGGATGAAATCAGTTTTTATGAAGTCAAAGGAGGAAAGTATATCCTCCAGAAATAGCAAGAAAAATGAAATCCGTGAATAGCATCTAAAGTGGTCACCTTAGAGGATAGCTTGCAGTAAGGTATAATATGTCAACATCTCGTGGAATTACACTGTTACTAAGTCATTGTTATTAGGTTTTAACGAGAACAAGATAAAAACAATGTTAATTTACTTCAGTAAGCACGCTTCACTGAGTGATATCTTAGACTAGAACTCCCAGTGATACTTATCTGAATTCACGAGGGTTTGCATGGTAGTATGCAACTAAGGCTTATGGATTTACGGATTGTGTTAATATATAGATTATATGTATGTAGCTTTGTCATTCATTGTCTACGCTAAATGTTTATTCTATTTTCAGATGGTAGTGTTATAGCACCTGGATTAAAAATGTCTGATCGAATATACTTCTTTGTCCCAGACTTCTGCAGATCTTTTACTCGGATGCTGTTGGCTGGGCAACTGCGAAACACGACAGCAGTGTACACGTAAGTAGTAGGTATTGTGGTAGCAGTATTACTTATACCGTATTTTTGTGATTTAAAATACGAGTTCCTGATTTACGAAGAATAGTTTATATAATTCTATCTTCAGTTTTGGGAAATAGTGAATAAGTTCATCACATATATATATATATATATACATTGGTGTGAACTTTGTGTATTGTTTTGGGAAGAAATGTACGCATACGCTTTTTGACGAAAGCACCCTGACTTCACATGATTTCTGCCATACATTTTGCACACCTGGACAAATCAAACAAATTTGACTGGAAAATGCAGTTTGATAAACAGTACTTTTTTATTGGGTAGGGGTGGGTTGATTAATGAAGCCTATGACATCCTCAAAGCATGTTATATGGACTTTTCAACCAACAGCTGTTTCTTGTCACGATTTCTCCACCAAGCATATTTATTCTTTTTTAGTTTATATCTCCCTTAAACTTCATTTGACTTGAATACACGGCAACTTCAGAGCTTGGGAAAAGTATTATAATCTCCTGTTAATAAATACATATTATAAAGTCCTTACTTGTGCACTATACAGTGGTTTGATATAAGAGGTTCAATTTGAAAAGTTTTTGAAAGAAAGTGCAAACAGTTGTAACTAAGAGGTACATGGTATATACGTATATTTGCACATATAGTGAAAGCGAAATCAACTCAGGCACCGTATGTATTCTGGTGAGCTAGGCGATGAAACACATATAGTGTGTGAAGGGTAGTAATACTACCTAGTTGCCCAATCCTTGGTATGTAGGATCGAACCTATGAACCATAGGTTAGAAGTCGAGTGCCTAGAATAATGAGCCACTACCTCATATATATATAGTGTGAGAGAAGTTGGTAGGAGTTGGAAGTGCTTGATCATTTCATAAGTCTGTTTCATGCAGGAGACAAACATGGTAATAGTCGAATGCAAAGTTTGTTAAAAAAGCAAGATAACTAGGCATGTTTTATTGTTCCCTTGTGAATTTGTGTCCTATTAAATCTTGTACGCGGTGCTGGCAGATACATTTGATTGTGGTTGCGTAATATTATCAAAAGAAAGAGGCGGGATTTTAACTACTGAGTTTAACTGACAAATAAAAAACGACAAGTTTCTAGATTTTCAATTTATCTTTAGTTATTACTCTTTCGTTGTTGATATTTTTCATAATATTTATTTTCTTACAAAAATTCATTGTCACACTCGGAAAGATTTTAAAGCAATATTCATGGGGATTTTCGATCTCTGAGGGTTACTTATGAACTTCTTGACTGGTAAGCTAGTGTATTCTGACTCCAATTTTCGTATACCTCAATCTAAGTAACCTCATAGTGTTATCTTAGTACTCACAGTCAGGTACACTCAACCTTTTGTGGTTACTGAAATTCCATTGATTTGCTTTTTTATATTGGATTTTTATATGGATTTACGTCCTACTTTGTGTTGAACTTTTTACTTAAATGGTGCACACTTTTCACTGGGGTCGTTTAAACACAGACGAGTGAAAATACAGGGTAAAAGCGATGTAGTGAAAACGTAAGAAACAAATTGCTAAATATTTCTGTGATGAATGGTAATTTTTGTCTATTTCATCAGACTGTTAAACAGTCGATTACGAGTTTATCGTGTTGATTATTCTAACTCCTTGTTCGCTTATTCTAAGCGGTGAAATCACTAACGTTCGGGCGTACAACCACAAAGAAATGTTTTATCCACTAGTTATATTATTTGCATGAGAATATGATTGTCTCACTTCTGTTAGTTCTAATATAGACGTGTCAAACTGAGTGGTATATAGTTGGTCTTCCGCATACTTTTTATTCAGGATTTAAATCATTATCCTCTGGAAAGATATATCCAGATGCAGGGGAAAGTAAACTGATTTTTATAAAAGGGCTCATTTTACTTCAAGTCTACTAGCAAATGTGCTTGGCAGTCAGAAAACATTTTTTGTGGTGTCGGAAAATTTGATGAGTCTTATTGTCGAAATTTCGATAAGTGTACTCAATTCTTCTTATTCATGAAAACAGGAAGTACAATAACTGTGGGATTAGCTTATGTGTATTTTTTAATTCTCTTCATCTACTTTACAAAATATTCTGCTGAGGAAGCTGTGGTGTGCGCGGGGAAACATCGAGAAAAATCTTGTTTTGTTTTCCTCAACACGCTGGAGTTATATTGAAACTTATCTTCCTAATGAGTAAGTCACACGGCTCTCAGCTTCTTGCAGGATATTCCTAACAGCTGTGTACTGGATATTTATAATATAAAGTGTAGTGTTTATCCTGACTAGCAAAGTATACAACTTACTTTATAAAATTTAACGATGATTGTGATGGAAACAAAAAAATATAGTCTTATCAAAACTGATTAAATTCGATGTTTTTAAAACTCCTCAGAGGGTTAATTATCTATATAATGACAGAATGAACACACCATAAAAAGTAACAAAGATTGAGAAAGGGTTGTAAAGAATGTTAGGCTTTGATTTTTCATCATTATCAATCATCAAAAGGTTAACAGATTTTCATCTTATTTAGTAATGAAGTGAACATGACTCAGGTTTTGCAATGGATGAAAAGAGGGGACGAAAAAATAGAGGGTCATGAAATTATATATTTGCGAATTCAGGAGATTAAAATTGACAACAAATAGAGTAATTCGAAATTCTATCTTTTTGATTACAAAAGGTTTTTAGTTACGATTATTCCTGTAAACTGCAGAAGATTGGGTTTCATTTGTTTATTGATCAATACATCGACATTATGCCCAGTATTTAGTAGATGCTGAGTATTTGCACTATTTCGTGTAAGTGGATTTTAAGGACACATTTTTCGGGGTATGCGTAGAAATGAGAACAGGAATCCTTATCAGTGGTCTTGCGATATATGTGACTCGTTCATAAAAACCGGTAGTTGGAGTTGGAGATGACAAGAATTGAGGACTTGTTCACTCTGGATTGCCTCAATGCGCAGTTATTTTCGTACATACAGATTATCTTGGTGTCTTAATGGGCATTTTTAAGTGCAGAAGTCAGTTTGTAGTCGATCTTTTTTGGCATTTTTAACCCTTTTTAGAAACAATCTGTAGAAAGATGGGAATCTCAACTCTGTTGCACCTGACTATCCTTACAACAAAGTTTATGAATTTTGTTCAGCTTACATCTTTATCTTCCATCTCAATCCACACATCCATGTCAAATTTATGAAATTACGTTGTACGCTTTACTAATCATTGTAAAAATTATAATTCTTAGACTATAAAGCAACTGAGGTGAATCCATGAAATGCATACATGTTAATATATTGACTATTATTCTTTCGGGTTCATTCAAAATTCCAGCGCTAAATACGGTACCACAGTTTCTATATCTTTTTAACTTTGTATAATTTTCTATTCCCAACAAATTCATGGATAGAAAAGCAAAAGCCTCCGAAAGTAAGAATTTCAACTGTCTAACTTAACACTAAAAAATACAATATACGAAATTCTCATTTGGTCACTAGTTGTTGCAACTTCTTCATAAAGTATTATTAGTTTGACAGTCAGTTTCAACACAGTTTGTTCTCATCTTCTAACTGCCTTGTATCTGTTGCATATGTAACTTTGTTGCGAAAATCTACAGTCATGATTGCTATTCGACTGAGCATTAGTTAAAGTAAATAGCTTGATACTTATATACTCACTACGACTGAATAGTGCTTGTCACCAAAGTTCACTAAGTAAGAAATAGAACACTACTCAGGGCATTTATATTATTCTTTAAGGGAAACAAAGTATCACACAGATACAATCGAAGAAATTAGGAAGACAAAAAATTCTTCCTCACTGTAAAAAATATTATTTGGAAAATGATAGATAGTAGAAAATGGTAATGACGTTTTATAGTGTGATGAATGTTTCCTTCCCAAAGAGACTACCACGTTGACTGAAACTGCCTAACTGCTTCCCGTCTTGACAGTCTTACGACATTACTCCTAGTCTTCTGAATTGGAAACTAATCTTGTCAGTAATTTTTTAATTAAGAAATTTCTAGAATGTTATACTGTTAGATAAGTGATTCCTTGCGCAGACAACGATATCTGCTTGAGGCACTGTTTCTGTCCTACTTCTGAGATAAGCCACTAGCTAAAGTTCTTGAATACTTTTGTACCTTTGTCCGTACAATCATTTACCCAATTGTTACGACTTTTGCTGTTTTTTCTATTTTCAGCTGCTTAGATTTTCTTCTCCACGTGAACAGTCACTAAACGCAACGCTTAATCCTTCGAACGCAGCATTTTGTCCAAAGAAAAAGGCCGGTCCAACTTGCCCTCCAACTGGCTTGATTCCTCTATCGCCTTGTTCGAACCCCCAAGTTGCAGTCCCTATATTTGCATCTCAACCACACTTTCTAGGAGCTGATCCGTACATTCGTGAAGCAATGGATGGAATAAGGAAGCCCAATGAGTCACTTGACTCGACCGTATTGCTTATTGAACCTGTGAGTGGTAAACGAGTTAGTGCAGTGATTTACTAGTTGCATAGATACTAAATCGATGAACTAGTGTACTATATTATGGAAATATTTTTATTCTGCACAGTATTTCATCAAGAAATATTTTCTATGCCATTCCTTTTTTTTTGTTAGATGATACTAATGAGATGAAGCCGTGTGTTCAGTTGTCATTTTTATTATCCTCAATTAAACATGAAACGATGAGGAATACCTACATTCGTAAACAAACAAAGACCTAATAAGAAAACTCTCTCCAGACAGGTTATTTTAGGCATAATGAACAGTAAACAATTTGTAAGGTAGTTTGATTTCTGGTACACTTCTATCTTCCAAATATGGTGTTACACCGATGATCTATCCAAGTAATCTTTCCTTTCGTTATCGGGAACCTATTTGACAGCGCCTGTCAGTTTGCTATCTTGTCTGAATTTTATTGAATTTCTGACTGTATAGTATAGCATAGTATACCACACATTTAACCACGAACTGAATTTGCCTTCGTTATCAGTTTCTTGAATACGTTTTTTTAATCATAGGACACTGATATAATGCAGTGTACTCATTTCGTTACGCACCGCGTAATTCATCCGCCTGACTCTGTTTATCTACCAGTTTGACTACGAAGAAATGATTCTGTGAAACAAACATATTTTCTACATGACAAAGATTGTTTTCTGTCTATTCTTGATACTATCAGAGGCTTTTTCACTTTTAATTTGTGTTTGTGTATTTATTCATTTGATTAGAGTCAGGTTATTGTCATCTTGAGTTGTTTTACTAGAGAATCCATATACTGGATCATCTTGACGATCAGGTTTATCTGATCGTATCAGTTAGTTAGTGTTCTGAGTGATGATATATCATTAGTCAGCTATCCCTCATTGCTTAAAATTCCCGAAATAAGTTCAAAACGTTTGCATTTGGGTTTCTATACTTGTAAGTCTGTTGTCTCAATACCAAATAAGTTTCATTTTCACTATTATGTGACTTCAATATTTTTTTCAAACGACTAAGTTATTTTGTATTGTCCTAATGCATAGTTTATTCATTTCTCCTAATTCCCTAGAATACTGGATTTATTTTGGAAGCCTACAAAAAGGTTCAGATTAATGTATATATCGAAAATAATGGTGACTTGTAAGTTTTTCTCCCCACACTGTATGACAAATTCCCTTATAATGTTTTTATGAGTATCAACCTTTTGTTTATTAACATGCTAGGTTTTCGAAATTTTCGAATTCTGTCTTTCAGTTTTAAGCTTTAAGCTACTATGCAACATTCCAAACTGTCGTCAAGCAATAATGAGTTCATCATCAACCGAAAATACAGTATTGAAGACTGCAAAATCATTCATTTCTGAGTGCTTAGTGAGTATGTTTCTCGGCTGTTGATAGAAAGATAAGACGTGAATTTTATTTCAACAGAACTTTGTTAAGTGCTGTATATAGCTGTAAGACTTTACTAGTTGATGAAGTCACATATCTGGTATTCACTGTATTCATTATTTTTAAAGTAACATACCTTTCTATGTTCAGAAATTTCGTATGGTGTTACTGAAAGTTCTTCGACTTAGAACAACACCTACTGTTTACTTTATTCCATGGGGCTAATTGCTTCAATCTGCTAATAGTCATATACACAAAATTTGTGTTACGAAGTCGAATACCTGACAAAGATCTTTTATCAAAATGTGTCACTGTGTAAAAGTGAATATTTACCAAAAGTAAATGCCATAGCCTTAGTAATTGATTCTTTATAGTTATCTGGTCTCGTTTAACTTCCAACTCTCCAACTTCAATACTTGAAAAACACTAACTCGCTAATTTCTGTTTTTTCAGTCATCAGTTTAGTAATATATGTATGATGCTAATCATTTAGCTTTTGCATACTTTTTAAGCACAGATAGCAGTGAATTGAGCTTAACCAATAATTAGACAGTCTGTCATATGACTTTTAAATGCATATTAAAATTAACTTCTAGGTTTCAGTAGGTGGTGTTACTGTCGTGAAAGGTCTGCTTTTCAACTTGACTAAAAGACAACGATTGTTTATATGTTGTCAAAAGTGATTGAAAGTGTATTGTTATTGTATACAACTGTCGCTGAAGTCAATTTCGTTATGACTTTCTAGCGTCGACAACATTTTCAGTTTTTTGGGGGAATAAGTAATTAATAACGTTAACACAATGAAATTAGTGAGTTTTCCTCTCCAAATATTTTGTCACAATTTCTGTGCATCTTATTTTATGCCATGATGTATAAGTAATAATCATGAATAAATGCTATTTCCTTTATATTTCCATTCTTTTTTTCTAGGGGTGAAGTGTACGAAGACTTGAAAGGACCATATTTTTTCCCTGTTTCTTGGTTCACTGAGGTTAGATAATCACTTATATTGTGACTTCTGTATTTTGTGAAAACTTGGAGGAATTATTATGTATTGGAGCGTTCAAATTATCTTTGGTATTCACTTACTGGAAGATGGATAGTGAAATGCAGTTGTTTCATAAATAATATGCCTCAATTTGATTTCCCAAAACGGATATTCTTCAAAAGTAGCAATGGTTTTGCCTTTTAGATGATAAGTAAAGTTTTATATTTCACCGGCGAATGGATACACACTTCTATAGTCTTAAAAATGCTTGTGTATAATTCATGTTGATTGGGAAAATAGATATTAAACAGTTTAAACAGAACTCAATAAGTTGCATCATAATGTCTTCCAAGAATATTTCGGTTTCATTTCTCATAAATTCTGTCCTACGGTTTGATGCAAATGCGATGTACGGTTGTCGTATTTTACTAGTACTCACAGTTACCATCTCTGCATACCGTTATGAAAGTGTATAAACTTTTACCTAAAACATAAGGCTTTCAGTGTTATTTTCTCGGAAATTAGATTACGCTAAAATCGCAATATAATTTAATTCCAGGCTTCAATAAATGAAGGCATTTTATCATTTCATTGTGATTTAGCATGAAAATTATTGTGATGGCTTTTTGAAATCAACTCTTATCGTGTAGCACTTTATTACTGACTGAAGTCTAACATTGTGGCTCTAACGTTGGGCGGAAGACTAATAACATTCCAATTGGCCTGCAGACATATTTCTTTTGTTCATCATCCAACCTGAATCTGAAGGGTAGTATCATGAAAGTATGCAATGCTGATGGAAGTTGTCAACTTGAGCTCACACTAGGACTAATTGGGCGTTGTCATCTGAGGTAATGGCAAATAATGGTATCTTCCAGGGATGTACACTGTTACCATACGTATCTACTTGTTATAGATGTACTGATAGATATGACCTTAGAAACCTCCATCTTCTTAGGGATTGACTTACTACTAGGAGGGGACCTAGGCTAAGGTGATAACGAAATGCATAGTTTTTGACCTCAGTGAGCAGAAATCTGTCCATATTTGATGTGCATTTCGCATCTCTGTCAAACGTAATATAAGGCTTGGAAACTCGTCCAGAACTTCTCCTAATTCAAGGATAGGGAGTGAAGTTGAAGGGTGTACTGACCACTTCACTTGTTTCACGTGTTGTTTTAACCTAGATGGTCTGATTGTTAACGACGTCTTATTTGGGATACAAAAGGCACATCTAGTATTCGGCAACTGTTGCCATTTTTTTAAAGGTGAGTTATTCTAATTTCTTATCAATGCTGTAGTTCATTCGGTTGTCTCCTGTTTCACTGCTATGAGACCTGGCGGTTGCGGGTAGAAAATCTGAAGAAATTACAGTTTTGTGACCTCGGGTATCTTTGTATTATTCTTCGTATTAGTTGAAATCATCTTGTGAGCAATATCGATCGGTGCTGGTGGTTACCCGTTAACGTAAGCAAGTCAGCCAGGGAGGCTGTGAACCTACACCGGCTGAAGTGTCTTGGACATGTGTTTTGCGTGTCGAGCAGCCGCCTATTAGAATCTACAATATTGACTGAAGAAACTATCTTTTTTCGTTCTGTATCTGTTTTACTGCAGAAATTTGCACACTTTATGCAATTTTGTACTTTATTTTGTAGTTTGCAATTGCTGACCCAAAATCCCTGAAGAAGGTATCCAATTACATTATTAAACCAAAAAAAATTATACCCATCGTCTTATCGACTGTTGCCGCATTAGCGCTGGTGTCAGCTGTAATAGTGATAGCACTTCTGCTCACCTGTTATAAACAAAGTAAAAATGATAGTTCTTCTCTGCGTACTCAAGCTGGATCTACTTTCATGCCAACGAACACTGTGTTCCGTGATAAAAAAAATGAGAGTTCATTCGATCAGTGGACAACTAAACCTTCACCGGAACACAATAGGCATCAGGTTAGTGTATGTCATTATAAATATTGAAGTCTTGTGAAAGGTGGAAATGTTACCCCATTGATTTAGTCACATAACTTCAATGCTTACACAGACCTCGACAACTGAGTGTCATAAGGTCTCAGACAAGAGGTGTACCTCACAGCCTAGTAATTAAATACCTGTATAAGGTTCAATCGGATTACTCACTGGTTTGAATAGTGTATTAGACCAGTTATGGAACTCACATGTTTCATGAAGTTGTGGTATCTTTGACAGTTCGTTGAACTTTGTGGTCAGTATACCTGTATACTAGTCTATTTAGTTTTCATGAAGTTATCACCATTTATATTCCATTTTACTAATGTAAATTTGACTGCTTATTTTATGTTAACTTTACCTTACAACTGTTGCACTCTTAATATGCATATCAATTGTGCTGCACACTACCAAAGTGTGCTTTGCGGTTAACTGTATTCGAGTTATATAGTCTTGAACTGATAATCTTCAGTTTCGAATATTTGACACATTAAGGATGCATTCCTCCTAGTTCCTTTCACTGCAATGTAACTTCAAAAACCCGTAGTCTAATTCATATAAAAATGGTGTAGTCCTAATGATAGAAATAGCCTAGTCATAGTAATCGAAGTAGAAGCATTTGATAGCATATATAGCTTATCAGGCCGGTTGAGAACTTCTAAATGACAAAAGTCAACAGATTCCTTTGAAGAATCCATTCAACACATATACTTCCTCTTTACATTTTTTTCTCTAACCTGTTTATCTTGAAATCACAATTTTCTCTAAACTGTACCTGTTACCTTGTAATATTTTTTTACTGTATAAATCTAAAGAAGCCCTGTAATTATTTGACCTATATTTGTTTGTTACTACACTGCGTACGTCCCATCCCAGGGTGTCGCAATCGACGATGTTCAGTTTTCCCCGGGAAAAACACCCATTTCAATATTGAAACCCGTGAGTGATGTGACCCTAGAAATATAACCTATTATCAATACTGCATATTTTTATAGTTTGCATAATTTCTGTGGCGGATAAAAAAAGCAATATATCATTTACTGCTGGTGGAGAACAGGATCATTTAGTTTCTTAACCAGTTGCATTTCCCTCCTGTTTGCTTTTATCACCTTATCATCGCGCTTGTGTATGACAGTTTATGATCCTTTATAAGTTATCTAGTTTATATAACTATTGAAAATTGTATTATTTTTGGTGCTTGCATAATAAACTTGTTACTTGAACGTAACCCTGCAAGGCGGGGATCTATATACATATAACTAATATGCATCTAACTGGTCTCTGTACGCATCCTTAATTGACGGAACCAAGTTTAACGTTTACTTTCAGTTATTGCTTAGTTTCTGCTTCTTTTTAAGTTGCTTTTTCTTTCCGAAGCAGGCCAAAACATAACTGAATGTAGTAGAAACATTTACACTTTCTCCACTGTTTAATTACTTATATTTTCTACCAACTATGTTCTTGTGCATAAATGCACAGAATGCTCTCCTAATCAAAATTTCTTATTGACATTTTAAGATTTCTTATCCAATTACGGGCGAATACGATTGAATACCGCTAATTGTTTATCGATTATTTGGTGAACTGATCAAAGTGAACCGAATGACACTGCCTCACAAAAAAATTAACATTAATGGCATTCTAACTCTACGAATGTCAAAAACTAAGCAGTCGACTACGGAAACCAATTACTTTCTGTTATTATAAAGAATAACTCAGTAGGGAAATAGTTACAGCAATATCTACATGACTGAAAGTAATCACTTATAGGTTCATTGAATCCAAAAAGCATAAAATAGCGTTAATGCACTGGAATTTGAGAAATCTTTCTAGTCAATTTGACTGTCACTGAACTATGTTGGATAAGGCAAAAATGCAGAAGCTTTTCTGTTGTTACTGCGAAAACTAGCATATTTAAAGATGCTAGTTTTAAGTTTGAAAGCAAGTATGAAATAAATTGAGTTATTTCATCTTTCTGCTAAACTTGCTACATAGTAATATAGTTCATAGTCAGATTATGCACTCTTATCTAGTAGTAGCACTAAAATAAATCCATGACTAACTTGTTCAGACAATATTTTACTCTTGCTATTAACTATTTTGATTTTTACGAAATAAATATTTCAAGAATTTCAGTACTGTTTTTTCCTATCCTCCTTATTTCCTTCAAATTAACTATTTATTTAGTTTTGAAACTGGCATATATGTTTAATGACTAAATTTTCAGTGACAATAAATACATACATAGTAATTTCAAAATGTTGGCACTAAGTGAATATCGTAATGGGAGTAGACTATTTGCCTTTTATTTTTCGAACTGTCTTACAAAATCTCTGATTTTAGTCTATCCAGTCATTTCGCTTGGCTATGGTCCACAAGATAATAGGAATGAATAGTTGAGGATTCTTGATGATATGACCGGAAATCGGTCACAGTGGAGCAGATGTATTTACTCCTCGACATCTAAAGCTTGAATATTCGCACTGACCATTATCTTCAGATTGTTTGTTCTCACACACAACTTTGTCGACTTTTATATCACTCTTTTTCTGTCCACCTGCTCTTTACATACTACTGAGAAGTGTGGTAACTTGAACTGATACACATGCATTCGAGGTCCTACTGTTACATATTTGAACAGGTTCATTTCAACTGTATTGTAGTATTGGATATCTTGGTAAAAGACTTCCACTTTTCAGCATGGTATGTATGTTCATGAGTTTCATCTTGTGTACATCCAGTGTGTTAATTCACACGTTTCCTTTCAACAGCTTTCTTAATGTCTTCAAGAGTAACACTGTGTTATTTTCTTCTGTCTTATTTTGTAAACCAACTTGTCCTGATTGTTTGAATATTATCACTTGCTTCTAACTTCTTGTATTGTACTGAGTAGTGAACAGACTACTTGTGAATGATAGGAGCATTTTTCTCTAAAATATAAGTAATCTGCAAGCAAATATTTCATCACTTATACACACTAAGCACTACCACTCTCGCTTTATGCTGTCAAGAAGTTTTGGAGATAAGTCAGATTAGCGTAGCGTACTTTTATGTATTAGCAATCGTACTTCATACTTTCCTCTTGAGTGATTTCCATCATGAAAGAGATACAGCGTTGAAATGTGAAACATTGCTTATCTATATCGCAATAACAAAGGTATTCGGAAATACATAGCCATTCCAAGGCGTATACAGAAAAACATAACAAAGTGAATGCATTCTAATAGACCCTTCTTCATCTATTTCAAACTGGAACAGCTATGTAGTACTGTAAGGCACAGAAATGCACAAACAGTTTCGTTAAATATCACATTTGCTTTATGAATGTAGATGGTTTAGGCGACAAGGAATGTATTTTTCTAGAACGTAAAGTTCACTGTATAATTAGCTAAGCTGAACCTCTGTTATTGTTATTCTTATTATCCCTAAGATATTTCTCATTTATTTGTGGCATGCTTCAGTTGGTAGTTTATTATGGTCCGCCTTTATAAAAGAGATCACTGGTACAGTTCTATCGTTTGTTTGACTTACTTCACAAGAATCACCCCACTTTTTTGTTTTATTAGGCTTGTGCTTCGAACAAATTATAGTTTTAATATACTTCTCATGACTGTCTTTTTTCACGCAGTCTAATTTCTTCCTCAACTTGCTTCCAAGTCTTTCCATGTCTTGAAACAAACCAATTCTACTTACTTTTCAAATCTATCATTTCCATACTCATTTGTCCGGTTAAGATGCTTAGCTTATCATTTGAACAGTGTTTTGGAGTCATTAGATATCTCGAGAAAACGAACATTTCCTCATCCTTTTGTCGAAGTTGACTCAACATCCTATCATTTTCTTAGCAAATGCTATGGAACTACTGATATCTTGAAATAATATAAAAGACGGCAAACTGATAAGCTTTTCCGTGTTTTGATTAGCATTCAAACTACCAGTTAAATTTTATAAATACAAATATTTTCTACTAAGTCACTTGATTAACTAGTTCATTGTTTCTTTTATAACTGACCTCAATGTTACTGTTATTATTCAACAAGATAAGCAGTAAGCGTAGACACCTGAAAATAAGAAGTTTAATACACTGTGGAAAGAACATTTAAGGGAAGTCCTTTTTAGAAATATCGAGAAGTATGTAGAAAATATCACTTAACTATTCTCCCTTTAGTTAATGACCTCTGATTAACTCTGTGTATTTGTCAATCCTTTGTGCAATGATTCAGTGTCTAAAATCTAAATTAAAAAAGATAATCTACAAAATAGGCTTATATAAAGGATTCCTTTGATCGTTGTTTTTACATTGTGACATTGTTTTCTTTATTTCGCTCATTTTATTAGGTTGTCGAATCAAGGCCCTTGCTCAAACCTTGTGATACGACTGGAAAGGCAGTTGCCTGATTATTGTATTCCCTTATTGCCGTTACTTTGCCTCTTACTATTCATTCAGTCATAGATAAAAGCTGTTCATTTTCGACCAAACTAAACGAAATATTTTTTATGCAAACAAGAACAATATAGTGTAAGTGAATTTCTCTTTTCTATCCTAGTGCTTCCAAAAACAACTTATCCCAGTGCTCCATGAAATATTATTCCTAAGGTGTGCTCACTGTTGAAATGTTAACTACAGATGCACACTGCACATTTTTATACCTAGAAATCTGATTTGTTTATGATTAACCGACTTTTTGTACAAGAATGCCAACCAGCTTGCTTTTCGTGATTTTCCGCATATATGTGAACTTTTGATTGGCTTTAGTTCAAAGCTTATTTAGCACTTCTGTGTTTCCATATATTTTTTCCATTACCCTGTGCACAAAACCTTTATACAACATGGTATTTTTGTTTGTGAATTGGCCTTTTGAATTTCCTAAACGCAAAACAATCTTTGAGTATTTTTTATTTTCGCATTTTTGTATTCGCATTAGCCTAATTTTGTGACTAGTCACCAGTTTTATCTTTCTCCTTACCAACTTTATAGTTTCTTTACATTATGTCCTAATGTTATTGAAATGATTTCTTTAGAGTATGCCTACTTGCCTGTGAATCAAGTACTTAGATAATATATATTTTTGCTACATTGTCCACAGTTTGTTGTACCTTAAATGTGTCCTTATACTTTTTATTGTTTCACTTTCTCTTCCTCATCTCTACCTTATTCCTATCTACGCTGATACTTAATGCAGCCATTACATTTTATTTTATGGCTCTAACCTATCCTTTCATTCTAATTTTCGGGGAATACCCATTTTCTGTTTTTATTTAACAATTTATTATATAAAACTAGTGTCGATTGCAATAACTTCGCGTTTTAGTGTTTGGTGGCTTATGATGGTTGTTTGTAATAATGGTTTATATTGACCAGCTCTCGGTGTCGGACTAATAGTTTTCTTCAGTAAAATAAGACGCTGATAAATTATGAAATGATGTCTTGGGGATTTATAGGTCTCAAGTGACGAGATTTTCTTATTTGTCATCATTTTACTTATTCTAAACAGTCGTGTTTGTGTGCATAACGTGACATGCTTTTTATCACATAATTGCTTCTTTTGAGGTGGTTTAATAAACTACCTAACACATTGCTTTTACCTGACGTATAACTGACTATTGATTCATGCATGTAATCTGTACCATCGGTGATTATGACTAAACATGTTACTGACTGCTTAGATGGCTCCCACTGATACTGTCATGTCTTTATATTTTCAAACGCAATCTTTTCCCAAATGAAATCACTAAATCCTTTGAATCTAGGATGCAAGTTGGATAATTTAAACACTTAGTAGTATCTATATTTCAAGACCTCTGTACTATTTAGATAAGCATAAATTGTCCATAGGTATGCTATTTTATTCTTGCTATCGAGTTGTGACGAATTTAATGATAGTAATAGCTGTTGTACGTACTAGGCAAGCAATTTTCACTAAAGCACAATGTATCTAAACGTGAGAATAACGTGTTTAGTATTCAAAGTGAAGTAAGGTTGTCTTTGGCACATAAACAGGTTTCAAGACTTATGCCTGAAGATTTGCCGCTTACAGCATCTGATACCCAACAGACCCACTTTTGTAAGTTCACATCTCAAGTAAACCCAAACACTACCTTTGGTAATTTCTGTCTGTTGGGCTTTTGGGTTCGCTACATCACCATCTTTCCCCTCATTGATAGTGTTTTATGTAATGTACGTCGCAAATGTCCTAAATGTTGAGGTCAAATTCATAATCTAAGATTCTTTTCATCCGTACTTACGTTTTTTATCGATAATTACTTTTTGCTATATTTAAAACATATTTCAAAGACACAACTTCAACAAGGTGATTTTACACTTTTCTATGAACTGTGCTTCATACTTAGTTAAAAAAGAGTTTCATTAGTATACCACTAACCGTTTCCTTCAAAGAAAAGTCGGTGTATCTCAATAATATTTAGGGCATATCTCAGGACGACAATGAAACTGACGGGTAACTTGAAAAATATGACGCAGTGGTTTGTCTCTGGTGAAAGAGTACTGTTTTTACATTGTCTTCAGCCTAGAAACTTCCTGTATTTGCTGTTTCGCAAACTGAAAGGTAAATCATGAGAGTTGTTTAGATTCTTCTTTTCTTGGTAGTCATTCACTGATTGTCCGTCTTCAAGACAGTCATTACGGCAAACTGCATCACGCTATACACAACAGCTAGTTATCTAGTACGTCCCTTGATATGCTCACCGTATAGCGCACTGATTCATCGTATTTCCTCCTGATTCTATTTAAATAGGTGCGAATTCCAGGAAAGCCGCTCCCACATTTTTAGTCACATGATCCTAAAGTAAATAGGTGATTGCTTGCAATGGGAGCAGTTTAAAACCTTCTTTGTAGAACTATTAGTTTCTGCTTCAAACATTATCTCAACTCAAGCGGATTTCGATCTGCACAATGAAAAAGATACAACAAACTGGGCTATCACCTAACCACCTTCATTAATAAAGTAGTTCATATCTTAGGAGGGCTGGTCGTGGCTTGAGTAAATTAGTGATAAAATTTGTAACTTTAGCAGTGAGTGTCACAAGTTTGAAACTGAGGGATTGTGGATTTCATTGTGGTTGACTAGAGTCAGCCAGCATGGATCTGAAGTTGAGAGATAGTCAGCGGTTCATTTTTAACACTAAATTGGCCCTTAATGGCACACCAATGGGCTTAGTGACTAGATTGCACGCTCAGTTAGTCAACCTCAATCAGTGCCTAGAAGCTAATCAGAAAAGCAAGTGAATGACCTTCAGAAGCAATCAGCTCTACTTTAAACAAGTGCTAGTCAACGGGGAAAGTGTTTTTCTTCCAGAGAAACCAAATGTTGGTGAAACTACTAAAAGTATGCAAAAATACCCAGGAGAGTTCTAAGCGTGTTCTTTCTTATGCATTAGACACGAAGTGTTAGAGTCAGTAAACAGGTGCAATGTATGCTAGACTGTGGATAAATGACCGGAAATTTGTGTGTTTGATTGGTACTGGGATAACTGTATCCTTAATAGACACGACTTGGTGTCAGAGATTAAGAACTTGCTCGTTTGCAGTTCAGATAACAGGTTCTTTTTAACAGTAGCACTTGACACAAGTGATTACAAAATAGATGTATTTCTTAGACAAACCGAAGGAGTTGTTGAGTGCATCATATGTCTTCATGGAACAGAAATAGTCGACAATTGAAAAGGGACGCTTAGCGATAATTTGAGTTTTAGATAAGATGCTATCTTATTTACTCGATCAGCGTTTTCATACCTAGACTGATTCAAGCTCCTACAGCAGTTGGAGATTCCGAGAGATATCTGAAGAAATTTATCATGGTGGATGCTACGCCTACAAGAGTGGGAATAATCACATCACACAGTAAGAGGATTTTTTAGGCGATTTCTTATCGAGACCAAGTGAAGAAGCTGAATTGTCGAAGTATTTTTACGCAGTAAATGCACTGGAACAAGACCCAATAAGACATGCTTGCCAAAGGAAATCTAATCCCACTCCTGATAAATTAATACGAGTGATAATTGAGAGGACACGCAAAGCGGTTGTCGTCAAATTAAGAGTTAACAATTCTGCCCAAACATTAGGAAAGCCACGATTTAGTATTTATAGGGCTTTAACCTGGCGAGAAAATGAGGGGACTTGGGTTGCAATAATTTCCGAATGTCTGCATAGCAAGATTATTCATGAATCCTACCAACTAGCACATACACATATTTCTAAGATTACAGATCCTTTGGGACAAAATGCATACTAACTGGGTTTGAGAAATGACGTGGTGAGTTTTGTCAGTTGACGAAAGGTGACTATTGCGTGGGCACACCACTGCAATCAATCCCCAGTTACAACAAATGATGATCTATGATAACTGGATACAATAGTACCGTCTCCTTACCTAGCAACAACCAATACCTGTTGGCAATGGCAGAATACTATGTTCTTGATAGATGGTAAAACAATTCCAGATGAATGTACAAAAACAGTTACTGAAACGTTAAACTTCAAGTAGTTTTTAGCACATCAAAAGATGCCTAATATTTAATAAGCAGATCAGGTTCCTACTTTGAATAGCTAGGTGCCAAGAGGATGCGAAAGACGCCATATCAACCACAGACTAATTGTTTGACAGAAAAAAAACTAGAGTACACTGATAAAATGACTGACCCTAAACGGTGGTAACCCCTATATAGGACCACGATTATTATTTTTAACTCAATTTACTTCCGTACAACCTCGCCTGGTTAACTAGTTCACTAGTTACTGGCGAGTCCTAATTTTGGATAAAGAGGGAAGGTTGGGCATAGGGCTAGCAACCCTACCCCGGAATACCAGTCCAGTCGCTATAGAAACTTCTAAGCATAGAAAAATATTTAGAAAAAATGAACTCATTCTTCACCGAAGTCGGAGAGACAAAATAACGCCGGTTGGTGAAAGTCTCCGGGAAGCCAGTCGGCCGATGTGTCTTCTCTCTCTTTCGATGAAAGCGAAATAAATATAAAAACATGGAATGTTTGCACCATGTATGAACCTAACAAGGCTTCCCAGATTGCAAACGAGATGAGAAGGTATCGCATTGAAGATCAGATCGCCAGAATAATAAAAATAAACAACGAGGAGCTCCGGCTGGCAACAAACCAATGAAGTAAGAACCTATCACCCAACAAATATGCAGAAGAAAGTGCAGATGGATTGTATTGGGCATACACTGAGAAGGCCGATTGGGGACATCACGCATCAGGCCAGGCCATCGAGTGGAATGCAAAGGGGAAACGACGAGTTGGGCGTCCGAGGCTAGGGTGACATGGAGTTGATCATGTGAGTAAGAGATGACAGCTTGTGAGCATTTGAGGCGCCAGGTTTTGAAGACTGCAGAGAAGAGAGTGCAATGGGGGCGTGCTACTGA